TGAGGACCAAAAGTCAAATCTTCTGTCCGAAGCTTACCAGACCATCAAGCATCTGTCTCAGATCGCACTAAAACCAGACTCTGCCTTCACTCTTCAGCATCTCGACTTCTTCATCCCCAGAGTGAGGGAGGCTGGTAAAGAAAACTGGGTGCGAGAGCTGGAGGAAATGAGGAGAAAAGCTGTAACTGAAGAAGCAAATAAAGATGCTCTGAGTTATCTGAAAGCTGGTCTGGCAAAACTTTTCCTGCCTCAGCAATGATTGAATCCAGTACAGTGAACAATGAAAGTAGAAGCCTGCTGCTTACCGTGATAAATCAGTGCTGTTGACTGTCTGTGCACAGGTGTATCTACAGAAGATGTGTATCTACAGAACTTTTATAAACCATAGGATATTTTTCGTTACACTAAACAGATTTCAGCTATTTTAATTTTGCAACATTGTCACATTAAAAATGTAAACATTTTCTTAAAATATAAAACTGCACCATCAGATTTTGAAACCTATTCTACAATATGTATTGTGTTTATATTGTTGTATACTATGTTAAATTCATATGGCAATAAAACAAACAAGAACAAATCTGTCCTTGAATTGGCTCATTTACTCCTTCAATGTGTGCAAACTGTAAAAAAAAGTAATGAGAAATTTAAACAGAAATTAAAAACATAAATATACAGAGAATATTTTGTCACAGGGAAGCTCACGGAGGACCCAAAATTAAAACCCACACTGGTTGAAGAGGCAGAGTGTCTCTTATTAAAATTAGTCATATTAAAGATGCCTCCTTCAACACACAGCAGACTGAATTTTTTTCAACTTATTCCAAAAGAAAAAAAAAATGAAAATTTTGAAAATACTTGAAAATTATTTTATTCAAAATGATTTATACAGAAATGTTGATGCAGTCCAAAAGTGCAGGAGATCGGTTCACATAACTGGATTTAAATTGTGCCCATGGCACAGACTCGCACAGGAATTGAGTGGAGTTCTCTCGCTACAGCGGCCACTCTCGCGCTAAATTATTGCCAGGTAAAATGAATAAAAGAACAAAACACATAAAGAGAAGTGAAATAACGTTGTGACGACATTAGGGGTTTAACTTCATCTTTGAGTTTAAGAGAAAACACCAATGATAATTGGTTTGTGGATTTTGTATGCTGAGCCACTCCCCATGCATTCGGGTATATAAGGCGACAGCGTGCATCCACTCATTCAGGTTTTACACTGAGGAATTGATAATGTGTCCCGGCATCAGCGAATGGTTCAAGGTTGTAGCATGGGGACATAACATTCCCTCCATCAAGGAACGAGGGTTACGTACGTAACCGAGATGTTCCCTATCTGTCGTAACTATGAGGTATGTCGTGATGACATTAGGAGTCTATGTAAAACGCCACAACCTGAACACCATCACAACCCTGTGGCACTGAAAATGTTGACAGCCCATGGCGTGTTAAGACAAAAGCTATGTCAAGGTTGTAACCTTCCCAATGCCCCAGCGCAAATTCACTGACCTTGGAACCGAAGGGCACCAAATGGTGAGTACATAGCTGCCGGAAAAGGCCATGCTGTTGTAACATTCACAAAACATTTTTTTGAAAGGGATTTCAGCATTCAATAAAAGATTGCTTCAAATCTTTCCTATTTGTTATTTCAGCCTGGCAGAAAGAAGGGGAAGCGAGCCTTTAGGAAAAGGTCGCTACGGAGGCCACATCCTACATGGAGATACTAATATGGACTGACCTAGGGGGCAGTACTACAAATGGAATAGGTCTATGAGTCAAGTCCTACCTTAGAGTAGGCATGGACCAACTGCCAGAAGAGACTGACAGAGTGGGTCTGTCAAGGGAAGACACAGGTTTACCAAAGGGTAAACCTTACCGTGGAAGAATACACATATGGGGTTACCCACAAGGAATCAAGCCATATGGACACCTAGCCCAGTACAGGGGCTGACCGGGACTCCGGGCATGCTAACACCAGTACTGGGCATGGCATCTGACTGCTACGCCAAGTCTGTCTGCTGGGGGTGCTGGACGATGCTCGATCAGGGTCCGCCGACCGGGGAACTCTACTGGGAGAAGAAAGGCGCTCGCATCCCCGTCTGACGGGGAATGGTGCAGCAAGCATGACACCAGTTCTTACCGCCAATTACCTGTTACCCAACACACGGGAATAAACCGGCTCTAAGCGAAGGTTGTAAAACCTTGCAAAGGTGTTAGGTGTCGCCCAGCCCACAGCTCGACAGATGTCTGCCAGGGAGGCGCCGTGTGCAAACGCCCAGGAGGGGGCAACACTCCTAGTGGAGTGAGCTTTCACCCCCAGGGGGCATGGCTTGCCTTGGGATTGGTACAACAAGGCGATGGACTATCCAGTTGGCCAACCTCTGCTTGGAGACAGGAGCAGTGCTGTTCTCACCACTTCCTGAAGAGCAGTCTCCCACATCTCTGGGTTGCCCATGTCAGGGCCACTTCGTCTTCCTTGAAGACTTAACGACTCCATGGGACACGGGGGGCACTGTCCTCCTGCGTAGGGCTCAACTTGCCAGCCTTGATGATGTCTCAGCGCGGAGGATGCTGGACGGCACTCACGGTGAAAGGAACCGGTTTAGAATGCGGTTGTGAGCCGCGCTCCACCCTAAGAAACCAATCAATGCTCACGGCTGTCTGGGCAAGGAGAAGCTCTCACTGTCACTCTCAGATCTCCCAGAGATCAAATTGAAAGTAATTGTTAAAATTGTGTGTTCCTTAGTAATACAGAACTGCCGGCTAGTGCTCTGGGAGATCTGAGAGTGACAGTGAGAGCTTCTCCACCGGGCCACGCCCCACGGACCTCTCACTCCTCCCATAGCACTTGTTCTGTGCAGCTGCTGAGTGATTGTGCTGGGCCGTCTTATGGCGGTCCCAGCGCTTCAGTCGGTGTGCCGCCAGAGGATCAGATGTTGATTGCAGCATCGGGGGATGGGCTTTTGACCTCTGAGGATGAAGATTCGGAGGGGCTGCCCCCCTCAGGTGTTGTCGCCACTGCCGAATCGGACCCAGAGTTGACGGCCATGCTTGCCCAGACAGCCGTGAGCATTGATTGGTTTCTTAGGGTGGAGCGCGGCTCACAACCGCATTCTAAACCGGTTCCTTTCACCGTGAGTGCCGTCCAGCATCCTCCGCGCTGAGACATCATCAAGGCTGGCAAGTTGAGCCCTATGCAGGAGGACAGTGCCCCCCGTGTAAATATTTAGTACCGTAAAATCCCCTTAAAATACAAAACATTTATAAAAAACTAAATCTTACTATAATTGTCATTGTAGGTCTACATATTTATGTACTTTATGCTTTGTTTTATATTCTTTATAAATTAGTTATGTTTTGGTTTGAGGTTTATGAGATGCAAAATTTATATATAAAATAGTAAAAGTTAAATTAGCCTACTGAAATACCTTTATGATATAAAAGATTATCTAAGTTTCTTTGGCTGTGAATAATAATGTTTACGTTTTAGATGTTGTCGCTATGTCCATATTGTTGCCTGTATGTTTAATTTTCAAATGTTAAAAATAACAAAAATTGTTTTGTTCCTATAAGTAATATATACCTACGTACAAACACTAAGACCAGGCTGGATGTAGAAAAATGTAGAAAAACAAATGCTTGTGCAAAGATCAGAACAAAGATGAGTTTGCTTCCTTGTAGGCACAGTGAGTGTTTCCAGTAACTCACAGAGATAGTTTGATGTCACTCGTCCAGTTGCATTTTTCAGCTTCTAAATATAGAAAGAAAACATTCAAAGTTGTTACACAAATGTTACTCACGGTTACAGTCAGAAAATCATGATAAACCCCATTATTTATTAGTTAGAATACTAATCCTGCTGAATGCTGCTTAGGAAGCTTCAATTGTATTTGATCTGACGGTCTTGACAACTTTGTAAAACAAATATTCATCCTTGATCGAGTTTTTGCACATGCGGGGAAATTCCTGTAGAGAAAAGAAACTAAGCCCAACCACAGGTATTAAGTTCTATTGAACTAAAAACATCCGGCATTCTCATGACGATACCAGATGAATGCATGCTTATGCCAAGTGAAGATGACAACTATTATTTACCCTCATAGTTTTAAAGAAAATAACAGCAGGGGTTGGAGCAACAATTTTCATGCAGCTCTTCTCCACACAACAACAATTCAAAGTGAACAAAATTTGTCAAGCTCCGAATTACATATTTCAAAACAGAGACAATTGAAGGCATATTCAGCATTGCCATTTTTAGTCTTCATTTAAGTGGATTTTCTATTTCATTTTTTAGGCTAATTCTAGTTTACATGACAACCTACAACATTAAGAGAACTCAAAACTCTACTGGAATGAGGAAGAAAACAAACGTGACAATCAGTTTCAGTCTTTGACTCACAAACAACTTTGAGTTTTGTGCTCTAAAGTAAAAAAAAAAAAAAAGTTGCGTTTTAATAATGTTTATTCAGTGCAACATTTAGTCTTTCTGTGGTTAAAAGTACAAAAACCTTATAAAAGACGAAGGATATGATCTACGCAACTGTTGCTGTTCAAACTCTATTGCTGATATTCTCCTAATAAACACTGTCAGTGACCAAACGTTTGTGATTGTCTTATAGACAAGCCTGTATTTATTTTTTTTATTTGGAGATTACATCTGTAACTGGAATTCAGATATAGATTACACTGAAGACGTTTCGTTGGGAGGGATTTCAGCCAGTTAGCCTTTTTAGATAAATCAGCGTTTCCGTAAAACCAGATACTTCACACAGACTGCAGGTGTGTAGGAATATGCATTTATATTTGTTTAAGTGTCTCTCAATGTTTTGACAGGGCTTTTTTTACATAGATGATTTAATGGGTATGTACAAAAAAATTAAAGTGTTTAAAATTAAAATAACATTCTGAAAAGTACTGAATTGTTTTGCTGTAAGCAGACTAGAGAGTGACGTTGAAGCTCTTCTGTGAAGAACACATTTAGATAAGTGATCACCATGAGTATCAGGTGAGTTGAAATTCAAGTGCCTTTCTATATGAGGTAAAATTACTATTGTAAATAAAATTGAAAGTAATTGTTAAAATTGTGTTAAAATCTTCCTTAGTAATACAGATTTTATAAAAACAGGTTTTATAAAAATACAGCACTAGTCATATACTGATAAACTCGACAGATGTTGGATTTGGAACCGCATACTAGCATATTACTCTTACTTATTTTTACTAACAATATCCTTCCTTCTATGCCATAAATAGTAAGAGAAGTATGATAGAAGGTGGCTCCAAGAAAGGCGGCTAGCAAGAAAAATGAAATAAAGGATCATATAACTGGCTGTAAAGTGTATCGTGGCGCCATCTAATGGATTGAATGGTCTTTACCCAGAATAGAAAAAGAAAATGCTTTGATGTATCAGTTATTCAGTTATGTGTAAATTCATAAGCAACTATAACTTGTCACCGATTAAAAATAAATAAATAAATACATAAAATAACCCCCGCAACCTTGTAAAGCTTGTTTCCACCACCAAATAAAAATAAAAAAAGGTAATTGTAACTTTATATCACAATTCTGACTTTTTTTCTTGCAGTTGTGAGTGTACTTCTCACAATTCAGTTTTTTTTCGCAGAATTACATGATATAAACTCCCAGTTAAGTGTTAAAATGTCAGAATTACAAGATATAAACTCACAATTCTGACTTTCTTTTTTTCTCATGATTGCAAGTTTGTATCTCGCAATTCTGAATTTATATTTCGCAACTGCAAATTTTCTTCCCACAATTCTGGCTTTATAGGCTCAATTGTGAGCTTATATCTGAAGACAATAAGTCAGAATTCTGAGTTTATATCTCACAATTCTGACTTTTTTTTTCTTTCTCAGATTAGTGAGGAAAAAAGAAAAAAAGTCTGAGATTAAAAGAGCTGTGACATTAAAAGTTGCATGTTTTTTTTTTTTTATCCTAACGAGCTTCCACATTTAATTGAATCTACGTTAACTGCTTGCTGAAATAACTACAACATTGAAATAAGAGGGCAATATAGAAAGAAAGAAAGAAAGAAAGAAAGAAAGAAAGAAAGAAAGAAAGAAAGAAAAAGTATTAGCTATATTTGCATTTTAATTAAAATGAAAATAACATAAATACCCACACCTTGTCCTAACCAGACCAAGTAGCTAATTTGCCCACATCAGACTGGACACGGCAAAGGCTTCGTTCACACTCCAGGAAAATGTGGCCCAAATCCAATTTTCTATTTATTTATTTATTGTTTGTTTTATTTCATGCAGTGTGAACAGCACAAACCATGGAATCTGATCTTTTTGATTCTGATTTGGTCCACTTTCATATAGACATTTTCACACTGAACGCGAAAATTCTCCGGATGTGTGTTCACTGCTGTGTGTGTGCACTTAGATGGGTTAAATGCAGAGCACAAATTCCAAGTATGGTGGCTACACGTCACTTTCCCTTTCAAAATTCTGTGCGAATGTTCGACGCGATGACGCTTTTGAAGAGTACACGTGATCGCGAAATCGAAAGTGAAAGTGAAAAGCGAGCGCTCATTCAGAAGCGATTTCAATAGCCCACATGCTGATAGTGGCTCCATGTTGCGCGTAAATTATACAATATTAGTATTAAATATTATTGTAATGGTCAGAAATTTGCACAGGGCTCTATAATAGACAAAATGAAAGATATAATGAAAGACAAAATATTGTTTCATATCAAAAAGTTACAAAGATTATTGTGATTAAATCATAAAAAATATAAATAATGGAAATTAAATAATAAAAAAAAAAGTTTCATATGTAATTTTTTATATTTATTATTTATTATAAAATACGAGTATACTACACTTATATCTGCCATTTATTTATTGATGTTCGTGGCAAAAAAAAAAAAAGTAAGAACAGTAGTGTATTTAAATTCTTTCTATACAATTGTTTACCTCCATCTTCATTTTATAGGCAGCCAAGTCTTCCACCAAGCAAACCAAATCTCATTCATCGAGGTCCGCCAAAACGATACCGTCTACATACAGAGAGAAATGTGCTTGATGAATATGGGAAAGTCAGAAAATTTACTTTTGGGAAAAAAGATGGCAGTAAAATAAATAAAATTGTTCTGTTGGTGGGAGAGACCGGTGTCGGTAAGACAACTCTCATCAACAGCATGGTCAACTACTTACTGGGAGTGAGGTTTGAGGATGAAATATGGTATGAAATCACAGAAGAAGCAGCCAGAGATCAATCAGAATCACAAACCTCTGAAATCACCATGTATGAGGTCTTTCCTGGGAAGAGTCCCATGGCTCTCACTATCATTGATACTCCAGGCTACGGAGACACTAGAGGACTGGATAAAGATCTGGAAGTTGCTGAGAATTTAGCCACTCTGTTTCAGAGCAATGATGGAGTTCGTGAAGTCGATGCCGTGTGTTTTGTGATTGAAGCATCGAAGAATCGTCTCTCAGACAGACAACATTACATTATCAGTTCAATTCTGTCTTTGTTTGGAAGAGACATTGTGAACAACATTGTGTTCTTAATCACACACTCTGATGGTCTGCCACCCAAAAATGTCATCGGTGCCATTAATAAAGCTAGAATCCCCTGCAGACGAGACAAAAGTGCCGAACCTGTTCATTTCTTATTCAACAACAGACAGGCTGAAGCCCGTCACACTAGAGAATGTCACATTCGTGCTCAAAGAGATGCCTGGGAAGACAGCGTGGAAGAGACGAATAAATTCCTTCAGTCTCTGAATGAAATTAACAGATGTTGTTTAGAGTTGACTTCAGATGTCCTGATGGAGCGCATTCGATTTGAAGCATTCATCTGCAACTTACAGCTGCGAGTTCAAGAGAAGGAGCTGAAAAAGTCTGAAAAACTTCAGATTCAGGAGGCAATGAGAAAAAACAGGGGAAAGATTGAGGAACGTAGAAACTTTGCAATTACAAAGACAGTTAAAGTTAAGGTTCCCATTGAGAGCAAGTCATGGAAGCACAGGAAGGCAACGACCTGCACCGTCTGTGAGGAAAACTGCCATGAGTTTAACTGCTGGTGGGGTGCAAATCCCAGCAAATGTGAAGTCATGAAAAACGGTTTCTGCACAGTGTGCACAGGGAAGTGTCATCACAGCAAACATGTCAAAGAAAACAAGAAATACTTCATCAGAACCTCAAGCATGACTATTGAGTTTGACAACTATAAAAATAAATATGAAAAAGCCCAAGAAGACTCTAGGAGATTTTCAGTCATAATGGATGATATTGACAAAGATTTGAAGGAGATTGAAGACCAAAAGTCAAATCTTCTGACCGAAGCTTACCAGACCATCAATAATCTGTCTCAGATCGCATTAAAATCAGACTCTGCCTTCACTCTTCAGCATCTCGACTTCTTCATCCCCAGAGTGAGGGAGGCTGGGAAAGAAGATTGGTTGCGAGAGCTGGAGGAAATGAGGAGAAAAGCTGAAGCTGATGAAGCCAATAAAGATGCTCTGAGTTATCTGAAAGCTGGTCTGGCAAAACTAGATCTTTTCTTTGGTGGGCAATGAACAAACCCAGTCCAGATGAAACAATGAACATGTAGGACACTGCTTACAATGAGAAATCAATACAGATGTCTCTCTGTACACAGGTGTTTCACTCATAACAGGCATTACTGGTATATATGAGTGAATATATGCTAACAAATGTAAACTATGTTCTTTTTGTAATACGAAGGTCACTTAAAATATGTTTTGGAAACTTTATGTCATGCCTTCATCATTTATTTCTGACTTTTACCCTTGTTCCAAACTTTTAAATCTTACACAAAGGACTTAACCATAAATAATTTTCAATTTCTATATACAGTATGCTAAAGATGCCAAGACTGTCATTCATGCTGTATTTAATGCAGTAAACCCATATTATAACCTACTATTATACATATTACACTGTGATACAGTATGTCTACTACATTTATATTGTTGTACACGTATGGCAATAAAATTAAAAAGTGAACAATGTTGTCCTTTAATTGACTTTTTTACTCTCATTTGAAACTGTGAGCAGACATGTGCAAACTGACATGAAGAACACAACCATAGCAAACATACAGAGAATATGAACATGCTTTATGTAAAAAAAAGAAGAAGAAGAAAAAGAAAATAATTCATCCTGTACTGTTAACATTATTGTAAAATAATTATAGGGCAGAGAGACAGATTATTTGAATTAAATGATAATCAACTGCGATACTATCAACGCAAAAGAAAGACTTATATTAACTGAACTATGAAGAATAATTATTTAAAAAATGAAAGTCTTGTGTGTATCTGTGGAGCGTCAAAAGTTTCTATTTACAACATATTTTAAATATGTTGAAAATAGGTATTACAAACCTCAGTGCACAATTTGCCACACCACAAACTGTCAAGCACATCTTTCCAGCAAACATACACTCGTTTTCATCCTTCTCTCCACTCTCTGAGGCAGAAGTCTCTAAACTCATCCTTTCCAATCATCCTACTACTTGTCCGCTTGATCCTATTCCATCTCATCTCCTTCAAGCCATTTCTCCTGCCGTTGTACCTGCACTCACTCACATCGTTAACACATCACTCCACACTGGTGTTTTTCCCTCAGCATTTAAACAGGCTCTTATAACTCCACTTCTTAAGAAACCCACTCTTAACCCAACTCTTTTAGAGAACTACAGACCGGTTTCCCTTGCTTTTGATACGGTGAACCACCAGATTATCCTGTATCCCAATAGGGTTGTATTGGAAAATGGCATCTCAGGAACCGCACGCCAGTGGTTTGAGTCTTACGTCTCAGATAGGTCCTTCAAGGTATCTTGGAGAGGTGAGGTGTCCAATTCGCAAAATCTAGCTACTGGGGTGCCTCAGGGCTCAGTACTTGGACCGCTTCTCTTCTCTGTCTACATGGCATCACTAGGTTCTGTCATTCAGAAACATGGCTTTTCATATCACTGCTATGCTGATGACACTCAACTCTACCTCTCATTCCATCCTGATGATCCGACGATAGCTGCTCGCATCTCAGCTTAATGAGCCGAAAAGAACGCACGTCACACCTAAATTCAAGGCATTAATGTTTGCCTACAAAACCACCACTGGCTCTGCACCCATTTACCTAAATTCATTACTTCAGAGTTATGTACCCTCTAGAAGCTTGCGTTCTGCAAGTGAATGGCGTATTATTGTTTCATCTCAAAGAGGCACAAAATCACTTTCATGGACTTTTTCATTAACTGTCCTTAACCATCTTCAAGAAACTACTAAAAACACATCTGTTCCACCTTTATTTGACCCCTAACTCTAACACTTTCTATTCTATTTTAATTCTACTTTATCTATATTTATCTTATTATTATTATTTTTATAAAAACAAACAAACACCAGATTTCTTTTTTTTCTACTTGTTTTTCTTTGTGTGTGTGTGTGTGTGTATGTTTGTGTGTATAATAAAATAAATAAATAAAATAAAATATTTTTGCAGCGTTGAGCAATATAGCCAATCACAGGCATAGCTGTAGAGCGTAATGACCAATCAGTGGAGTGAGATCAGAAACCCGCTCAAAACGGCAGTTTTCATTTAGCGTGTGTCCACTGACTACATCCTTCACGCTCGCAAATCCTTTATAGGTAATAAAACATAGACAATTTGTAAATAAGATATTCGTTATGTGCTTTAACAAGATTAATTGATTAACGGGAGCTTTCGCAAGAGTGAAGAATTCCATGATATCACGATGCTACCAAGTAAGAGACAGCTCACTTTCTGTATATAATCCATTCACAGTTTGAACAAGTTTGGTTTGTCACGCTGGCTGCTAAGAGGACCATCGACCATCGCAAAGATTTGTGAGTTACGACAGCATTTAAATCCAGCAGTGAATCCTCTAGATTTGGTTCTGTCAGTCTCCTTCTAAATTGCGGAGATTGGCAAAGTGATAACCATTGTAACGGATGAAAAACCTAATTTCAAAATAAATCTGTGCATTAATCAGTCTTGACTGAATGCATTTAGTAGTTTTAATATGCCTCTATAATTAGATACTAAAACAGTTTTGTCTTATTTGTAATGCATATTGTTTCACTGGTTGAGAAATTTTTAAAAGCTACATGCTAATGTTTTAAAGTAGCCTATTATAACTACCGCAAAGCAAGTGTACATTGCAGTGACCAGTCTCTCCATGTACAGACCAACATCTTATAAAAACATGCAGGGCGATGAGAGGAGAATATCTGAAAAACAAGACAAAGTATGACGGAAAAGAATCCAGCATAGTCATGCCAGTCAAACATTCTACATAACCAGTCGGTGAAGGAACATGCCACCACACCTGAAACACAAAGAAACCTGTATGCACAAGAAACTATTGTGCCAACACCAACAGCTATTTTCCGGTAGTTCCCAACACTACTGAAAGTGAAAGAATGATCTTACAGACACATATTAGGATCGGATGTTGTGTATTAAAGACAGCAAACTGAGAAACTGAAAGTGCTCAATATACAGTTTGCTGACTAGAGAGAACATGTACATGCAAAAACATCCAAAAACAAAGCTCCCTTGAGACTTTTCCCAAATGAGGTGACTTTTCACACAGGCCTTTATCCCACTTCCACATTTGAAAAGTGGAAGCTTTAAAAAGTAACGTAAAAGAAATGCCACTTGCACGCGCTGAGTCACTCATGATTACAGCGTTTTCATTGTTGAACTCCATCTCTGCAAGTACTGTGCTTGACTTGCTTGTAACATGCATTTGAAACCGCAACATGTGCCAAACATCCTCCCATGTTTGTAATAACAATGATCTGTTGTCAACAACAATTTTGAAAGAGGAAGAGCTTTTTTCTGTCTACCTTGAAGTTTTGGACAAAGTTTATGAAGATGGTGTTTTCTCCAATCAGCGCGATGTAATAATAGTGTCCTCTCTTCATGAGTGTTGGGGTTTGTGGCTCCTGATGCACGCCAGTGAGGAAAAACCTACTGAAGGAACAGCTGAAGATGCACTTATCAAGTGCAAACCAGAAACCTTTTTCAGTAAAGCAGTCTCCATTCTCCATGGTCTACTATTACATCAGGTCTGGAAACAATCTCCATGAGAAGGAACGTCATACTGAGAGCATTGAGATGTTCACCAAAGCTTTGGAGGATGGTGAATCTGGAGAGATTATTCCTCTATATAATCGTGCACTGGCCACTACTATAAAGAAAGACAGTGGTTATATCACTCGAGCATTGGCTGACCTGGAAAAGGCTGACAAGGCTGTAGTTTCATACAAATTATATCTGGCACAGATTATTAATCACATTAAATTACCATGTGCCAGAAACAGAAGGCAATACTTTGCTCACAAAACAGTTTATGATTGTAAATCTACTCAAGATGAACATTCAGGATGCTGGAATGAAGTTGAAGAGGGCTGTAAGCACAGGTGGAAATGTGAGACTGACTGAAAAACACCCACTTTTCCTGGTTGGACACATTATGCTCAGTTATCAAATACTTCCAGATTATCTGATGATGGAGCTTATGCACTTATGCACTTCTCTTTAGACACCATATTTTCTGTCAGTGGCCTTTTGTCAAAAGTATTACAACTTTTGAAATAAGACAAATTGCTCAGACACCTAAACAAACAAAGTGCACTTTCAGTTTTACATGAGCATCAAATACATCTATATTGTGCATATATCTAATGTATATTTCCTAAGAAGTGTTATTCTAATCACACACATGAGTTCTTCCTGATGACACATTTCATACTTTATAATTTTGAGAAGGACATTTCAATTTAGAACTGAACATTATTAAAGAATTTATAAATGTTGACACATTAAAAAGACTTTGTATTTAAGTGCTGTTGTATATTTATGTAAATAACTTAATATATTTTTGATAATATGCTACATGTATACTCTACATGTAAATGCACAGATTTATATTTTGAATGTAATGCAATATGATGAACTGGTGTGAAAAACAAAAAGGAAATGTTGAAGGGATAGTAAACACAAATAAACGCATACACACAAACACACACACACACACACACAAATCTGATGTGATCTGTAAAGACTGTTGATACTTATACCTGGTTATGCCTAATTATCATGGCCAAACTTTGAAGACCACAAACAATTATCTGAATTTAATATTTAGGATGGCCTGTTAGCTTCTTTGCCTCTTCATTTTTCTAAACATTCTTAGATAACAATTACAGCATAACAAATATATATATTTCATGTTTTCTAGATAATGTTTACATTTAGTCAAAAAAAGTTGATTGGTGCAAGACTGTACATCTAATTCAAATCGATTTAAATATTTTATAAATTTGTCGATGTTTATATTTGTTTATGAATGTCAGCCACTATAATGTCATCATGCACACCTGTTGATCTCTGAACTCGGGATGAGCACATAACAGATGCTTTGTGAGGTTTGCTGTGTTCCCTCCTGAAGCAGCTACGTGAATTATGGATTTGTTTGATAATTAATACCGTATTTAGCTTCTGTATTGCTGATTTTCAGTCA